TGTACATTTTTTTAGAACATGAACTCGTATAAAATACACAATTTAAAATATATGCAGCAAATAAAAATATACACAACATAAATGTTATTGAAGTGTTTGTACTTTATTTGTGTCTAATTATAACGTACAAATGTGATTTGATTTCTTCTTCGCCCTGCATGTGCTTCTAGCTTTTTCTGGCTTACTGCGCGGAAATACAGATGGCACCGCGTCTGATTTTAGCTTTGGCCTTTTTTGGTAGCCAGGCACAAGATCGAGCGTTCTTTCGAAGCAGTCTGGTGTAAAATGCGCCGAACAAACACATGCCGGAATTATTTATATCGCGTGGGTTTACTCCATATCTATGGTTTACTCAGACTGCGAATTCTCGCCAACCACGCTTCTCGCAAACCTTTTTCTTTTGGAATTCTGTGGTAGCTGATTCCCACAGTTTTCCGTGAGTTGTTAGTTCAGTCAGGAGCCATGCAATGACGCATCTTCGGTTAAAAAATATTTAAAAGGAACTCTAAAGACTAAAGCTTGATTATACAATTTGTTTCGAAGCAAATCTGATTATACAATGTGTTTCTATCACACACTTACGTCACGGCACTCATAGGACCACCCGCGGATTCAACAAACATGGCGGCGATAATGGACGAAAAATCAGTGAAACAAAGTTAAATTTCTCGCAAACGAAAAAGAATTGAGGCGAACAAATATTCATTCCAAGGTAGGCTCATATAAAGCTTTCTTATGAGCGACACTTGTTCTGGGGGTGGAGTGTCCTTTACCTCTATCAATCAGCTGAAGGACGTCGTCATTTATAATGCTCCTTGGTATTTTCACACATCGTCGTTGCACTCCTTCAAAGATGGCAGTATGGTCAACAGATGTTCCATCATAATGACCGATCGATTTCCTCAACTTTGATTGGTTGAACGACACTATGGCAGGTTTCAGCCTATCTTCTATCAATTTCAGCAAATCTGGCAGGATTACATGAATGCAAGGGTTTCTTTCATATCTTGCTGTGACATTTTTCCGAACACATTTCTTTAAAGACTGCAAACGAACATGAAGAAAAATACAATTGCTCGTTTTTTATGCATTTATGCATTAATTGTGGAAAACGTCATAGCTAGAATTATAGTATAGAGCATGAACTGCATGTACACATATATGTTACATATAGATACAATCTATAGATATATAGTTTGGCTTTTGGTTATAGTAGTTTCATATAATTTCTACTATATAGTACATATAGTAGAAATGAACGCGGTATAGCGTTAGGTAGCCTATCTACTATATTTGTCGGCTGCCAACAACAATGGATGATTCCAGTCTATATAGACTAAATTTTGATCTCGGCCAGAAAAACAAAATCCATCACCACAGCTAGAAAGAGCATGTTAAAATTAGTAAAATTGCAAAGTTTGATTGCGAAATGTTGTAAAATGGGGAAAATTGATAGCCCTACGAAATTTTCAAATTTTGTATTAATTTGTATTACGTGCGGGAAAATGCACCACTTTCAGCCCAAATGTGATGCATTTTCCCGCGCGTAATACAAATACAAAATTTCGCAGCTCTAATATTTTCCGCATTTTACAACATCTTGTGGCCAAATTTTAGACTAATTTTACCATGCTCTTTCTAGCTGTGATGATGGATTTTGTAGTTCTCGCTTAGATCAAAATTTAGTCTATAGCTGGAATCATCCATTGTTGTTGGCAGCCGACAAATATGTAGGCTATCTAACGCTATATACCGCGTTAATTTCTACTATATGTAATGACAAGCATGAATACCTCATCGGGGATAGGGACGTCCTGTAAACTTTTCCCAAGATATGCGCAGAAGTCCTCGAATCGTTCTCCCTGCTCCTTTTCCTTGACTGCATTTGAACTTGCTTGGACAATTTTGCGTACGTATGGAAGGAATGTCTGATCTAGATATTTCTCGTAGCCGTCCAATGATATGGATGGACTCTCTAAGTTATCGACCAAATTACTTTCATCAATAATCTAAAACATGTTTTTTAAAAGATACCCAAGATTAATGTATCAAGCTATATGCCATGGGCACATGGTTCAGGCAGGATACGTTTAAAGTTGCGTGTTTATATAATCGGCATTAACCGATTAGAACGCAACATAGGCCGAAAAACCTTTGTCTATATGCAATCGGCGTCCGCTGATGCCGTCATGCTTCCCGTTATGGCCAAAAAATGTGAAATTCTTTAGAAGAATATATATATATATATATATATATATATATATATATATATATATATATATATATATATATATATATATATATATATATATATATATATATATATATATATATATATA